GTAAACGTGGGGGTGCCTAGATCTCGGATCTCTGTCGCTCCATCTCTTTTGCAGTGTTATGAGTTTAACTCAAAACAAATAGTAAAAAGATTAAACGTCATGTCACAGTAATGAACAGGAAAGACAGTTGTGGCAGAGAGGAAAAGGTGCAGTATATCTGTATTTCAATAATAGGTGTTATCAGCATGTTTACACGAGGGAAACGTGTTTATATTGGCACCCCTTGATAAACTGTTTAACTATTTATCAACGGGTGCCAATAAGGGGTGTCCACTGTCCATAATTTTGGCATAAATAGGCTTTCGTCAGGACATGTCCTGGGTGTATGCCCAGTTGATTTGTTTTTACTTTTACTGATTTTCATCGGAAAGTACCTCTATAATGTGTACTGTCTTTCTCTTTTGTTGTACTTGTACATCTTAAATTAATGTTGTTACTCTTTAGTGATGGTAGTGCTTTAGCTCCAACAATACAAACCTTCAAAATGTTACAAACAGAATAGAAAAAGATCAAACATAACCTCTCTCAGCCTGCTGTCTTGAATGTATTATGCCATTTCATAATAATATGTTTTTATACAGTGACTTAATATGTTGTATAGAACATAATACATAAGCCAAAGCTTTATAGAAAAAGAAACAAGCATTTCTTTATAGACCTTTGTTAGTAACACTAACAAAAAGTCTCTCTGTCTCCATCTCTCCTTCAGTGTGACAGCAGTGCAGTCGGCTCAGTGTGTCTGCAATACACTCTAGGAGATAAATCTGTAAAGAATGGGCTGACCTTCAGTCTAAACTCTGACATGGACAGTGGGTAAGACAACAACTATTAGTCCACAAAATTAGTATTGTTCTGTACAGTTCTGTAGTGAAAATCTGAGTGACATGTAGGTATTTGTCACTTTACATCACAGCTGAAGAGCAGTAAAGAGAATTATTTTCTTCTCTGCTGAGATAAAAGTCAATATTATTATGGACTGTCTCTTCTCAGTCAATGTCCTTCTGTGTTTTAATTTGAAAAATTACTGATCGAGTTGCTAAGGATTAAATTTATGATACTTTATGACACAGTTTCTAAATAGAAATGTACCACAGCTGAAATTTTGTGTTTCTTTTCTTCTCTTTTCAGCATGGAATAAACCTATTACTTGTTCCCATATATAAATAATTTATACACACATAAAGATATACAGTGTCTTTATATTAATGTCCTTTATAGGTGGTTATTAATTATTTTTAATTATTTTGGTCTGTGACCCTTGTGTTTTGGAAATGGAGTCTTAGTTTGTAAATAATTTAGCATTTAATAAAACCACTGACTGATATGTAAGACAGAAAGACACTAGGCTGCCTCATTGGCCATCACTTAACTTGGTCATGCAAGCAGTTCAGTAATTGTTCCTGTGGTTTTCTTCTTGTATCACAGCCTCGCAATCCACAGACTTGGGGCTTGTACTCTAATCCGCTTCTTGGAGGGCCAAGAGAGGGGGAGAGCACAGGGTAAAGAGAAGGAGGTGCTGAACCAGAGATTAATTAAGCTGAGCACTGAATCTGGAGTGAGCTGCTCCCACACAGCCTTCATCGCCATCAACAAAGACAACAAACAGCCGGTCCAGGGTGCTCTACTATGCAGGGATATCCCTGGGAAGAGGGTTGAGTGTCAATTTGACTGTGAGTGTTAAATTGTGAGTGTGTTCCATACTGACCTAAAATGACATGGTGGTGACCTCAGACACTCAGGCTATGTACAGAGTTACCCAGGTCTGAATAGATGAAGCACTTTAATACCATCTGACATCATGAGCCCACCTGTTCTTGGTAAGGTCAAGCTTGAGTTTATAGACGGCAGTAACTGAAATGTGCAAGGTACAGTAGTTTGATTATCTCTTTACGGACCCCATATCATTGTATCACTTAGTAACAAGATTCATGCCATCCATTTTCCTTAACTATGCTTTAGTGCATAATAAAGTCTCAGACTAGAACAGCTGTGGAGGAGGAGCTTGGACATTTAGGTCATGTTGCATGTTTCTCCTGCAATCATTCAACAATGCATCGTGCCTATATGTGACCGTCGCGGTTCCATGCGGGCTCGTGCCCTCCGCCACTCCACCCCGCCAGTTTTGTCCTGCAACACCTGGGGCGCAGACCCGGGACCGGCGTAACGCAACAGGGAAGCAGCCGAGTGAGCTAAAGGAGACCTCCCCCAGCCTAGGCGGCTGAGGTCCCTGCTACGTGCAGGGAGGGCGATGATGTCACCGTGCCCAAACTAGCTCCGCTACATATACCTGTTTCCTTTATATGGAAACATGAGACATGAAGTCTGTACATGATGATAACATGAGATTGTTAAAGGCTGTGAGAAATGTTAAAAAGATGACTAAAGAGAAACAATGAGACTCCCATTGATGTCTTGGGTGGACTCGGCAAGAAAATAAGGGCCTGAGAGGAGGCTAGAATCCCTATCATAACTATAACTGCCATCATGAGATGCAAGTCTTGGACACTGCGAGCCTACAGTACTTCCTGGAGCTAGTGCAATGGTACGCAGAGGAGTCCAAGACTAGGTGGCTCCGTTGCTGGAGGATGGAGGTAGTCAAACCTGACATTAACTCCTTTCCCAGGGTGATGAAGATCATCTTGCAGAGGTCCTGTACCGATACTGGCAAGTCCCTGGAATGGGGGTGATAGACCAGCAGAACTTGCTTTGAAGAATAGACCTGCAGATCATGCATGATTTCCAGCAATTTCCAGCATTTAAGAGCATGGTGACCACAGCATGGCTCTACCCAGAAGAATGTGGAGCACCTCTGTTGCAACTTCCAACATTTGTGAGTCACTGAAGACTTCTGGGGTCCACTTGAATATCTTCATAAAGCAGAGCATGAGAACAGCCTCATGTAAGGCACTGCGTTTATACTGTATATAAAGCAGGAATTAACTGAGTGGCTTAGTCAATAACTAAAATAAATAATCATACCCCCCAACCTGTAAAGATTTCTCCAGGAATACACTAGAACAGTTGGTATAATTAGAGGCACGTGAATTCCTTGTTCTCTGTCACAGCTTTGGTGAAAAGAGTAGTAATAAGAGAACAATGTTTAGGCCACCCAGAAAACCCCAGAGTTCTACCAAGTATTTGACTTAAAATCATATCTGCAGAGGCCAAAATAAGAGATAAGCTGCCTTCTAAACTAAAGACAATACAATCTGCAGTTAAATCTCTCTCTGCAAATAAATCTCCCTGTTCTAAAAATGCACCACCAAGGAGGAAAGGCCACTTTTAACCAATGTATTCTTTACTCAGGAAATCCAAGTTCTCTAAAAACAGAATAGCAAGCTGTGTTTAGCAAGGTTCAAATACCAGTGGGTTCTTTTCTTTAGATGAAACATTTTGATTACTGTGGAATTAGCTTATACTACATATTTAAATGTTTGTGTACATTTAGTGTGTTGAAAAACATTAGTTTTGCAGTGCATTATATTTCCTTTATTCTATACTGTATGCGAGAGGGTAGCTTATGATATAAAAATAATTTAGGTTACACTGCCATGAAGTAATGTTTTTTTTATTTCAATGTACATTTTAGTTCATTATATCAACTCCTAGGCAGACACTCAAAATGAAAAGCTGCTTAACGTTTTAAAAGACCACTCCCCTGGATAGCCAACTCTTGCTGTTTTTGTCAAAAGGATTTTAGGAATATCTGCTACCTGCACTTTAGAGCAACTTTTCAGTGCTGCATAGTACTGTATATGTTGGAGCAGAGACGCACTGAGATTCTCCAAAGCAATTTCTCCTTAGTCTACTGTACTGTATCTTTCAAAAGCATTCAGGCCACTGCAAAGTTTATAGGATGCAAGATGAAGGAGGATGCAGTGAAGGTTTGAAATGAGTCTTAATCTGTTGCGAAAAAGGATATCTTAAGGAGAAAAAAAGATGTACACAAAGTGTATAACCCATAGTGCTCTGAATCCAAACCATGTTTCAGGAATGCTTATAGTCTGTTATTATCATGAATGGGTATTTAAAAGTGATCATTGAATATGCATTAGAACTATACAAAATATTTCCACACAAGGGTGCAATGGTTATTTTTGATAATTTTTTCAAATTTTGTTACTTTAAATCTTGCATACATGACACTTTGAAGTAGCAATTAATATTTGTTATCTATACAACATACTACACACACTCAAAATGAAACACAATAATAACAAATGGAAAGTTTAAGATTTTATAAGTATTCAAACCCTTTGCTATGGCAAACCTAAACTTAGGGACAAAAAATAACTACAGTAGCTGCACAGTTAGATTCACTATTTCTAGCTCTTTTGTGTCCCAAGTTCAGGCAATAAATTACAATTTTTCGATGATAAAGACCGATGAAGTTTCAGAATATCTCAGAAATAAGATTTATAAAGATACAGATTAGGAGAAAGACATATAAAATACTTCAAAGACGTGAGCTTGGTGAGCATGGGAAAGCTGATTACTACGAAGTGAAAGGCAGTTAAACACTGTCTAGAACCGACTACCCCTCCAAACTGAATGGCAGTTGGTCAAAGAGAAAATGTGGTAAAATGTTTTGTGATCAGACAAGACAAAATTAGACCTTTTAACAAATATAAGTAATAAACTAAGAATAAATAATTAATAAACATAAGTGGGATAATTAGTTAGTTGAGGTCTTGTAAATAAACAAAATTCAGTAGACCAAAATTCAGCTTCACCAGCTACAATCCTAAGTTTGAAGTTATTTGCATTTTTATGTGGATATCATATTGTTTTTTTCCCAGTTTATCACAGGATTGGACAGAATGGGGTCTTTTAAAATAGAATTATAGCACAGAATGGGGAAGCAAAACCTATGGACAGCAGAACTGAAAATACTGAAACTGAAACTCTTTCTCTCTCAGGAGAGGCTCTGTCCGGGAAAGCAGGGAGCAGGGAGAGAGTCTGCAGAGGAGTTGGAATAGACTCTGAGTATGGTGTCTAGGAGCAGGGAGGCTCCCACAGAGCCATTGTGGAACAGGGGAAGACTCCCTAATAGTAGCTGCCTCAGGCCACTTGTAAGGTAAAAAAGGCAGTAGAGCAGTTCTGGCCAAACAGGAATGACCGAGTCGAGGAATATCCACTGCTACTGCCTAAAGAGGATGTGCATGAAGAGTGAGAGGTGTAAATATCATTGAGCCTGGGATACCATGAGCAGAGGGCTCAGTGATATGTGATTGAAACTTGAGGGTGACCTTGGAAGAGGAAAAGATTGGACTGAGGCTTACAGTGTGTGATGACATTGAGGCCACTGTACCTGGAATATGGGACTTCAAGGCTGGGATATCATGGGCTCAGAGTTTCTTACTGGATTATTAGCTCAGATGGAGTGAGTGTAACAACAGCAATATCACCTTGCATCTCACTACTGGCAGCCCACTGAAGCTCAGGAGGAGTGAGCCTGGGCAGGACCTGGATGGGAGACCTCCTTGGAAAAACTAAGGTTGCTGCTGGAATAGGTATTTGTGGGGCCACTCACCCTGCGGTCTGTGTGGGTCCTATGCCCCAGTATGGTGACGGGGACACTATACTGTAAAAAGGTGACGTCCTTCGGATGAGATGTATAACCGAGGTCCTGACTCTCTGTGGTCATTAAAAATCCCAGGGCATCCTGGCTAAATTTTCCCCGGGCCTTTACCAATCATGGCCCCCAGCTAGTTCTGTTGGTAGAGCATAATCTCAGGGTAGTGGGCACCAGGTCCTCCATGTTGGAGGTTGGGCACAAGGTTAACAACCTTCTCCTGTAAAAAAACGAATGCCACAGATACAGCTACAGGATGTAGTTGCCCTACATGCCAGCAGTGGCATAAAGGGCAAACATCTACACAGACGCATCCTTTACCAATCATGGCCTCCTAATAATCCCCATCTCTGAACTGGCTTCATCTCTCTGTTCTCCTCCCCACTGAGAGCTGGTGTGTGGGGAGAGTACTGGTGCATCATCCAGGAGGGGCTGCACACTGGTGGTGGTGGAGGGGATCCCCATTACCTGCAAAGTGCTTTGAGTGGAGTTTCCAGAAAAGCGCTATATATCTTAGTTACTCCTAGTTACCCTGATGAGCGGGCAAATTTGAGCTCTACTCTCAGAGACTATATGTGAAAAATACTGCTAAAAAGTTCCCCAACTGCTGAGATGTGCATGAAAGATACACCTTGGACGCATCTGTCTCACACCCAATGAGGCATCACCCAGATTTCCAGATTGTCGTCAGCTGTCAGTCCCACTTCCATTTATATTTTGGAACTAAACACAGAATCTTTGTTCAAATATTCCATCTTAAATTCAGTTATAGTGATGTGGTGTGTGTGTAGTATAATTTAATCTGACACCTGAAGAAGGCTTCACAGCCGAAACATTGTGTTTTCTTTCTTCTCTTTTCAGTATGGAATAAACGTATTACTTGTTCCTTTGCAGAGTACGCATGCTGATGCAGCTACCCACCTGATATAATTTGATCTTTTCAATAATATATATTCTAATTTTGTAACAGTGAAGCACAGTTGCTTACTCCCCAGTACAGAAAGGATTGTTCAAGAAAAAAACATTTGCAGTTGATGACAGAAGAAAAACTATCGGAGCTGTGAACAAAAAACATAAAACAACTGTCCGTGAAATCACCAGCAATTTCCAGAGTGCAGTGGAGAAGTTATCAACTCCAGCTTGCTGAACATTGAGACAAAAGGATTACAGGATTGCTTCTGGAACTCTCTCAGTTGTCTTTGTCTGTGATGTAGCTAATGATGGCAGCAGAAGAATGAATTCTGAAATTTACCGAGATGTTTTCTCTGGATATGCAGAAGAAAACACTTATTTGGGGTTCTTCAACATGCAGCATGATATATGGCTAAATGTGAACAAGGCGTTTGTCAGGAGAAAAAGTGGAAAATATCAAACTGGCCAAGTCAAGCTTCAGATGTAAATTTAAATGCATATGCATTTTGCATTCTGAGGAAGAAAATATTGAGGTCAGAAAACACTAAGCAAGAACTCACAGCAAAGGCTTTGGCAAACCATCTCACATCACATAGACACTAGTGAGCTCAATAGATCATAAACGTCAAGGCAAATACACAATAAAAACAACGCCTTAGTGAGAAGCAAGTGGTTTTAAATTGTGCAGTGAATGTTGCAGTTTAGTTATGGGAACTGTTTGGTAGTGTTTTGGCAAGCCCTGCTACGGTGTTACTGAGGATGAACATTAGTGATGTTACCACACTAATTATTATACAAAGTTGTGCTTGTACCGTTAGTTTTATTGGTAACCCTTTCTAAGCACTACTTTCTGTTTATGGTATGGTTTAATCAGGATTTGGGTGCTGTGAGAGTCATCTGTTTTGGTGTTTAACTGTAGCCTCTGCTCTCTCATGTAACAACTAAAAAGAATTTTTGTTCCTTCCTAGAATCCATTTTTGTTAGAATGTATGAGCAAATAGTTCCTCCAAATAAATTTATTTGTGTGTGTATCTCATGTAAAGGCTAGTTATTTTTTTCTGTGCAATTTTGATGATTGTGTTTGTATCATTTGTATCTGTTTCCTGTTAAGTACAGAATGTTGTTCCATATCAATTTTGTAAAGCTGTTTTGTTGTTTATTAAGTACCACAAGAACTTGTAATCTACTCTTAAGAATTTTCTGTTTTTGCTTCTTAACAGTACGTTGTTTGAGCAGCCTACTATCTAGAGACTACAATCTGTTTCCTGAGGAGCCTACAACCTACAGCATAGAACCATTGGTGTTTCGAGGTATGGTACTCCTAACACGCATGTGAAGTATTTGTTGTGGGTGCTGTGTATAATGCTGCTCAGGTTGAAGAAGAGCCAGTACCTTGGGTACTACCCCTGTCTTTAGCAGCTGTTGGAACTGTCAACTGTCATCTCTTGTTTCCTTGACTAGAATTGGTGGGATACAGTTGGTCCCTGGGGATTTATTAAAATTGGATCCTTTATCCTTTCCCAAAGAAAAGGACCCGGACTCGTCCCGGTGTTTTTTTGCACTTTGATTCATAGTGCTTTTTTTGACATACAATATTCAGAACCTCAAAGTTGTATTTTAGCTGTGGTTTCAAAAGCTTTCAATCTGAACTTGGCATCTCACAAAGTCATTTAAAGGCTTAACCAATTTTACAGCATTGCATATTTCTTGACATTTCTTCAGCACTAATGAAAATGAAAAGGTTTTGCTTATATTACTGTTCCAAAATTGTTTTTACATCTTAAAGCATATAACCACAAATGAGAGGGGGCCATGCTAAATATTATTTCAGAAAAGGATCCATTTAATAATTCCAAAGTGCTCAATATTTCTAGTTCTGCAATTTATTTAATCATCTCCCCTGAAAGAAAGCCTGCACTCCACTGTAATCTTAACATGACTGTTAGTTCCAAGACATCTTTATTTAATTCTGATTCAGTCTTCCCTTTGGGTTGTATCCTTGAAATCCAGGTAAGTACTGCATTCCCATTACAATCGTTTGCTGTTGTACTCATCAAAATGGACTGCAGCATGTTTATTGCGGCAATTACGTAGCATGCAAATTTGTTAAAGCTCGGACCACCAAACGTTTGATGGAGTAGAAGCAGGTCTCTCATTAGGTGCAGATTCTTTATTTATTTTGAAGAGCATGTAGGGACCTGGCTGTGTCTGGACTGTTTTTTGTGGCTACTGTTTCTTCACGCAGATTTGTGATGCTCTCTGACTTATTTTCCAAATGAGCATTGAATCAATGTGTTGCTTACAAATGTTATCTTTTGAACTTTCCTCTTTTAGACAAGCCAGCACGTCTCGACACACCAAATTATAGAGCAGCCCGTTTCTATGATCCATATGCTTCGTCAGAGCCTGGTAAGAACTGGCACAATTATTGCATTTTTGCAATAATTTTAAAAATAACATCACTTTATTAACCCTTTACAATTTCTTGCATTATGAATTTGTCTTTTCACATACCCCATCTTGCTCTCCATGAGACACACAGACAGGGAGAGAAGCTGGGGGTCAGAGCGCAGGGTCAGCCATTGTACAGCACCCCTGGAGCAGTTGGGTTAAGGGCCTTGCTTAGGGGCCCAATGGAGTAGGATTCTTCTGCCAACTGCAGGATTTGAACCGGCAACCTTCCAGCCACAGGTGCAGAGCCACAGAGCCACTGCTCCACCCTGAGTTTTTGTTTAAAAATTTTGATTAGGAAGATATTTTAATGAAATATGCTTCAAAAATAATGTTACACTGTATGTATGTAACTGTATTCTCAACATCATAAATACAATTAACATAGATTTGACTGAATGGTCACCTTTTCATGGTAGGATTCTTGGTTTAAAAGTTTGATTTCCTTATCTTTATTTTTTGTTTTTCCCTCCTTCTATTCTAATAGTGAAGTCTATTTCACTCCCACATGAATACTTTCTGAAACAAATGTATTAGATTCACCCTTTGTTATATAAAAATACACACCTTCTGCGGTTAATTTCAAACAGGTAACTTACAGGGATAGCAGATATCAAAAGGATAGAAAGGTAAAAATGATCAAATAAATACCTCATACTTCAAGTCTGCCATGTCCCTCACTGCCAGAAAACAAGGTTACAAAGCCAAGAGAAAAATACCCACATGTCAACTGGTGCACTTTGATCAGGCAGTCGTGCTGCAGTGGTGTTTGGGTGTACAATATAAGAAAATCATGTTTTTTATTAAATTGGATCAGATGTTATGCAACTACTCTTCAGACTGCACTCCAACAGCAGCAGTATCCACAAGAGAAACAACAGACTGAATGTCACGATCGTTACTCCTCTTCTTAAGGGCGCTCCTGCCCTTCCTTGTTCTGTCCCATTCCCCACACCTGTTTCTTATTCCAGCCCCTCTTTAGTTCCACCTTTAAAGCCAGACGCAGACGTTTGCCCGGGGCTTCTCATTGAATCCCGTTTCGTGAGAGCCCGGGGTCCTGCTGCGTCTGGCTCTGTTATGGTTTTAGTTTCTTGTTCCTGATTCCCTGTCCCGCTGGTCCTGAATCCGGTTCTGGTTTTTAAATACTTTGGATGGATCCCTTGGTCTTGGACTCTGCCTCCTATTTTGGATTTCCCAGTTGGATTTATGCTTGGATTGTTCGCCGCGGACTCATTTCCCCTGGACACCTGCTCACCTCGGACACGCCCCCCTGTCTCCTGACCCATTCCTGCATGATATTTTTCCCTATTGTTTCTTCACCTTCCGGATCGTGTCGTCCGCATAGGGCCCGGAAAAAACTGTTCTTGACACTGAAGAAATAAACTAAATGGGCATGTCTAATAATAAAGCAACAGGTTCAGTGCATGGACTTTCTGAGATCCCTCCACAAATCTTTCTGCTTCACGTACAGTACTTTATTCACCATAGGAGATGATCTTTTGCTTGATTGGACAAAGTGAGAAAGAGCACTTTAACATTCTGATGGGATTTCTGCAAAGTGAGAAAACATTTCCTGTGCGTTACAGTCAGAGCTGAATAAGTCAGCAAGAACCTCTATCATGTTGTTGTGATGCAATATTCTTACAGCTTGAAGGATAAGCTCATGGCCAGTTTATTTTATGAGGTTCAATGCACAAGTTCAATCTCTCCAAATACCAGAATCATCCAAAATATTTATCTACCCTTTCTTTAGTGTGCCTAGCAATGATTGTTGTGGGCAGACCTTGTCATCAATCAAGCCAAACTGACATACTCTTTATTAACTTAACAAAATCATGATTTATAAGTTAATAATAAATAATAATAATGATGTTAATAGTAATTAATGTCAATAACAATTAATGCCAATAATTGTTAATATTAATAATAATGTTAAGATTATTTATTTTAAATGGATGTTTCCATCTTTGACTATTTTAAGTTTATCTTTGCTGTACCCGAATGTGTTACACAGAGTATACCATTGCTATATCTGCCTTTAATAAAAGCATCTAGTAAATCATTGGATGGTAATTATAACTATTATAAACATGTAATGATTACTACAATGTTCAATTCAAATGTTGAAGCTTTATTGTACACAATTCATTAAATGAATTTCAAAATAGATTGATAAATAACAGCTAATTAAAAGGTAAGAATAGAAATAGAATAGTAGCAAGTATTTTTGTAACTCAATCATTGACTGATTATTTGTATTGTTAATGTTTATATGCAGTTGGCATAGGGGTGCAGTGATTAGCACTGCTTTGCAGTGCTGGGGTCCTGGGTTCCCCAGAATGGTGGCCTATCTGACATTCATATATTATTCTTTTGAGTGAGACCAGTGCCTGATTGATATGTCCATTATGTTTGCTGCATTCAGTTTGTCCTGTACAAATGGTAATATTTCTGTTAAAACAATAGCAGTTTTCATTGGTAATTGAAATACTCTTGTTACAGTTGCTACGTTGCTACAGTGCTGTGTTTTGTGAACAGATGAAGTCAGTATTTAATGTTCAGTGTAATGACTATGCAGATCAGCAGACTTACACTGTGGTTAGGCTGCTGAGTTGGAATGCTTAGGGTTTTTGCTATTCTAAGGAGTTTTGGAGGCAAGACTCTGATAAACAAGGTGCAGATATTTTTTGAGGTGCTGCATGTACAAATGCTTGCTGGAATCCCTCATCAATTAACAGCCTTAAAGCTGAGACACTGACCTTCCCTAGCCTTACCTCTGTGCTTGTATGGGTAGGAAAGACAAAGCTTTGGTAATTGAGGAAACAAGGGAGTAAATGCAGACGTAAAACAGTTGGCTTCTTCTGTTAGCTCAACACGGATCCCCTTTCCCTGCATACTTCCTGTGAGAAGTGAGAAGACTTCAGCAGCTCCCCCTGGTAGGACAGCAGAATACAATAAAGAGAATGATTGACAGCACTTACCACACTGAGAGAGATAGACAGAACTTGTTATGTAAGGAACCGTCCTGTAGGGTAGATAAGTCATTCATGTTTAGAAGCCATAAACACATACTGTGTTGCTGTCTAAGGTAGTCTGCTATTATATTTTTATTCTGAGCTTTAGGAGTTGCATCTGTGTGTGAGCTGCGAAGAAAGGAGTGAAGGTTAATTCCATACACTGAAAAGTTGAATAAACAATGTTTTTGTTGTGGTGCAATATTGCATCTCTTTATGAAATTATCTTATCATTTACATTGATGGACCAGGAGGAAAACGTGCCAATTGTTTCAGGAGCACATCAGAGCACTGATAATCAGGGATCTCTCAATGCTTTTTTAGATCACCTTCCGCCCTTCTCAGTCATGACTATATCAGTCCTTTAATAGATTATATCAGTCTGAGTCCCTTAATACATGTTCCTGGACTCCTGGCCCAGAGTTCCTCAGAAGCCAAGATGGTACTTAAACTACCTTCCACAAACACTTAGTGATTCTTTTTAGATGTATTCCATTTTTTTTCCGGTTTCACATCACTCCTTGAATTTATCTCCCAGATAGCTGCCAAGCCTCACTAGCTCTTCCCTTAATTTGGATTTAAAGTGCCTTCAGTATGGAGCTCCCAATTCAAAATAATTATTAATCCGACTCATTTGTAGGCTTTGACTGGTTTAAGGATGTCAATTCAACTTCATAGATCATTTGTATCTCTTAGCTTTTCCAAGCAGCACGGTGTCACGGATGGTGGAAGGGCAAGCCGTGGAACGACTAGGAAAGCAGTAGAAACCCTATGCGTAGCGGTAACATGAGGGTTAGCCCAGGCTACGGGGGTCAGATGATGTCGGTATAAAAACCTATGCCCTCAGGCTGCAGATGGGGGGTGGCCTGGGTATGAGGCGGGTCTCGCAACATCTGGACCCTCGATGCTGAGCGAGGAGCAGAGCACACACAGGAAGGAAATAGGCAACACAACAGGACACACCAGAAAGACATGAAGAATCACAGGGAACAAGGAACAGGACAGAAGAGCAGCTCTTTCTAGGTGTACAGGGTATGTGACACACAGACTCCACAAGGACTCTTTTACCTAACTCTGGAGTCTGTCACCACCCTTGTCTCTTTCCACCATTTACTATATGTAAGAGGACTTGCACTTAAACTCTAGAAATACGACAAATATTACATGAGAATGTCATGTCTATGCAAAATCCCCATCTTTGACCAGTGTTTTTTCTGTCTCCAGTCTCTAAGCCAAAAGAGGATCCTATGCTAATGATGATCACTCTTCAGAAAGCAAATGGATCCTGGGAACTTAACAAGTCGGTAGCTTCTGTTTTGGGAAAAACAAAGAAGGAGGTGACCAGCAAGATGCCTAAAGAGGTAGGTAGTTCGAGCACTGATATATCACCAAAAGGCAATTTCTCCTATTCATCATGCACAAGCTTAATGACATTAGACTGACTAGATTCTAATCAGAGTTACATTAATAGAACTTCATGGCTATTCTTCAGACCTTTTTGATGTCATTTTCTGTGATGTGACTTTAAGCCATTTTGGTGACAATCATCCCTGCTGCTTTTCCTCTCTAGGCACTGAACACCAACATATGGGCAACAGTTCTAGCTCTGCTGTGGTTATATGGATTCAAACTGGATTTCAAGGATGAGTGGCACTTTGTGGCAATGAAAGCAGTGTCCTGGATTAAATCCCAGTCAGGTACAGTAATTAACTGAGACGCCATTTCATATACAGATTCTGCACCAAATACTTAATATTGACCCTGACAATCATTTTAAAATCACATTACTTATTTATATTATATGTAAAGAAGTTACAGTTCTTTTATATTTTGTCAATCAATGAGTTACAATGGAAAAATAGTCATTACATCAAATACCAGAGGCTTCAAGATTAGAATCCTTTAAAAAGGAGGACATTTTAGCTTTCAGAAAACATAAAAAACTGTGTGTTAGACGTTTGCCACAGTGCGGATGAATATAGAAAATGCTCCCTGACATCGCTTAGCCTTTTTGATCATTCATCAGCTATTGTTTTTAATTCTCCAGGTGCTTTGACACTTTCACTCAGTAAGCTGCTACAATAGAAACCCTAGAATTTGAAAACACAGTAGAGTATTTCTTCTGAAGCTCAAAACATGTTGCATCAAAATTCTGTCAAAAAAAAATAAAATAGTGACCAATCCTGCACACACAGAACCTTTCTAACTTCAGTTGGAACTTCTACAGTATAATTACTACAGTATGTGTGGTCAATGTCTTAAAAAGCTGAAATAATTATACACTGAATGTTTTATAAAACATACTTTTTCACAGTGAATTGTGCCGTCTCTCAGAACAGGAACTTCACAGATTCACACATTTTACGTGTCTGGGTAGTTATTTTCATTAAGAACAATGTTATACAATGTTATACAAACGTTATATTGTCTGGTACTCTGATATGTGGTGTAAAATATCGCAGTCAAATTCTGTGACTATTACACCTATGAATTGTGTGCTGTCCACCAGTTTGGCATCTTGAGTTCACTTTGTGATTGAGTGGCTCAGTTAAAGAGGGAAAAATAAGTAATTGAAATACAAGGTTGAAATGAAAACCCTCCATGCAGATTGTAAAATCAATGTTGTGAACTAGTTGATTGGTCTTTCAATTTATTTTTTTAATTTGTTCATAATCTCTAAACTATTGATAAAGAAAGACATGACATGGCATAAAGTAAAGAATCTGTTTCATAATCTTCAGACTTCCAGCTATGAAGCTGTTCCTGGATTTAGTTAATAAATTAAAACAGAAAATGCCAGACACAAATTATAATACAGAGTGTGTATACTGTATTCTAATGTCTTGAAGACAGTGTATTGTGTTCCGATGGGTCATAGCACAGATCCTGTCTTTCAGGGGTTGATGTGACTCGATGTGTTGAGGCTGGGAACATTCTCCTGGGATGCCAGGTGGATCCTCAGACCCTGGGGATATGAGCTTGATCTGCCATTCGTAACGTTGCAGTGTGGGTGAACCATTGCAGGATTAATATTAAGCCTCTCCTGCAGTGATTGCTAAATAGCAGCTTAATGCTCTTTCTGCATTCATACCTAAAGCCGGCAGAATCACCTCTAGTCCTCACAGTCACGTAGGTCTTATAGGCATACTTAGGTCATCAATGAACCAATGTTGATTTCCTGAGGATAGTGTTCATTTGTTGATTGAACCAATAATAAGATGTAGGTCAGACATTTAAGCACTCAAAAGTAAAGATCAATCCAAATCCTTCAATTCTACGACATATTTTCTGTTCTGTTTTTTGTTTGTCTGTACTAAATGTCACTATTTGTTATGGAATGTTATGAACTGTCTCCATTGTGGGGTGCTGTCTGGTGTACTGTTCATGTCTTGAAAGAATGTTCAATGTATAATGTTCAAATCTCAATGTATAGTACATACTGTATGGCAATAAACTCCTCTATCTAATCTAAGTCCAACTCCATGTCCAGCTTTATTTTGATACACTATGTCACATTTTTTGAATGGATGTTTTCATTCAATTAAATTCAATTGATTTAATTTTTATATAGCGCCTTTCACAACAATGTTGCCCCAAGCCACTTAACAAAGCACGTGACCATACATGTTGTGAACACAGAACAGAAAAGACCAGAAGGCAATGGAGGAGAAGAACTCAAAAAAAAAATGAATGAGGGTATTAATCCATCCATCATGTCTTCTCCATGCAGCTCTCCATAGACCAGCAAAATCCTCCTAAATGATAACTGTATCCACAATGTTCCTCTTGGATCCATGGCAGTGATGTAGCATCCAACTCAGATGGTGCCCAGCCCGGGCGCCATCTGGACATGTGGGGAGGAGAATAGGATAGTTGGTCAGAACAGATGTATCTACCTTGTGGGCCAACACAGAGACACACATTGGCATGGACAGCAGCACCAGCAGCCATGGCTGCAGCAGGCTACGATGTGAGGTGTGAGTAGGCTAGGCTGAAGTAATAGGTCTTCAGTCTGGATATGAATACTGAGATTGACTCAGCATCCTGAACATGCGGTGGGAGACTGTTCCATAAGATAGGGGCCCTGTAACTAAACCAACTGTTTTTTTATGAATGCATGGAATATGAAGAAGACCTGCATTCTGTGATCTAAGCGGGCGACTTGGATTGTATACATTGATAGGTTCCATTAGATAGACAGGTGCCCGACGTCTGAAAGCCTTTTAAGTAAGTAGAAGGATTTTGAGGACCGTCCTGTACTTCACAGGAAACCTTGACAGGCTTCAACCAATGAAGAGAGCTACTGTAAGTATGGGGGTTATATGGTCATACTTTTTCTGCTCCTAGTAACAATTCTAGCTGCTGCATTCTGAATTTGCTGTAAGGTGTTGAAAGAGTGATGGGTGCTCCCTAAAGGTAGGGCATTGCAGTAGTCTAACCTGCTGTATACAAGAGCATGTATTAATTTCTCTGTGTCTTGAGTGGAGAGAAACTGCCTTAGTTTTGCAAAATTTCTTAACTGTAGGAAGCATGTTTTCGATACTGTATTAACACTAGAGTTAAATGAGAGCCTTGTGTCTAATATGATGCCTAGGTTACGTGCTGAGTCAAAAAAAGCTGCTGAGGCAAATTTTTAAATCCTTTGAGTTAAGTGCTAAAGTTATAGTAGTCCTATCAGTATTGTTGCCTCCAAACAACAGAACCTCATTTTTATCAGAGTTGAGTAAGAAAAGGTTTTCACACATCCAAGTCTTTACTTCATAAATGCAATGAACTAAATTGATAATAGACAGGACAAAAAAATAAATAACTTGTTTGTTATTAATATTTTCAGTGAAGTATTTAACAAAATGTGCTCTTACTAATGAACTCTATTAACCACTTGCTTTTAAATTAAGAAAATCCGAGTTTAGGTGTAATGAATGAGAAGATTCTTATTGCTCTCCTGGACAAGAGTGCAGTAACCCTGTTTTAAATTTGTACACAAGGCTTGATGAAGACTGATACCTATTGTACCTACGTATTTGATATTATGAATGATTTTCCTATCTTTTAACATTATGGTATTGAGGTTTATATTGGGCATTGATTTGTTGAATACCTAAAGCATGTGAAGACTTGTGGAATGCATTCCCTAGCTGTATTGCCGTGCATTATAAAGAGCAAACACCCAAACTGTATTTAATAATAATAATAATTGCTTACACTTATATAGCGCTTTTCTGGACACTCCACTCAAAGCGCTTTACAGGTCATGGGGACTCCCCTTCACAACCACCAATGTGCAGCATCCATTTGAACTGTATGATCTGCTTCTATGTCTGCTTTATGCTTCGAGAAGTCTCTCTTCTTCCCCCGGTTCTGCTTTACCATCTCATGTTGGTTGATGAATTGTCGAGGATCCATGCCTCCAACGACACCCCTCTGGAAACAACTACCATTCTTCCTTCACACTGCCTGGAACACTGGAACAATGAGGCTATAAGTCTATGGAGGTCCTAATAAGGACTAATGTGACACCCTGGAACTCTCTTCACTCTGGAGCTCCTCGGACATCGTTATTAGTGGGCACCCATTAGAATGGATGTTACCACCTTTGTGACATAATGCCCCATATGTAATTAAGCAAAGGACTCCTGTCAAGCACCAGCAAGCCACCTACTCGCCTATCCCAGACCAACTGTGGCAGCACATATCAACAAACATCATGATGGTTCTCTCATGAACCTGAAGTCTTTTGGTGATACTCATGGTATCACCATGAGTGGTCGTGGTTGTCGACCACTATTCCAAGGCACCCTTCATCCCTCTGCCTTAACTACATTCTGCTGTTCAGATGGGAGACATCTTTGCTAAAGAAATGTTTTGGCTTGATGGATTCCCTGCTACCATTGTCTCCAACATAGGCCCCCAGTTTGATTCCCACTTCTAGAAGGCTTTCTGTCAGATAATGGGAATAATGGTTGAAGATCATCAGCCATGGTCTCACCTTTTATGAGGACTGGTGCCATGGTAGAATTCTAGCCATCACAGAGGAGGATCACCACCACGGGCATGAGCTCTTCGCCCCACTGCCCTCACGAAAATGATACAAGAGCATTATGGACACTTACCACTAGATTCTTCAACGGCTTCTATCCACAAGCAGTGCGATTGGCGAACACATTAGGCCATGTCCCTTGGACCACACCTAGACCATCTGCTTCATTATGATTTCTTATTAATTGCACATCTTCCGTCACTGTTTGCATTCAAACTGTTTACTTGTTTGTTTGTACATTGTCTACTGTTTGCTTGTATATTGTCTTGATGCACTGTCTGCACTTTGTGTTTTTACTGTACATTATTTTAACAATCAAAAGACTTTCTGTAAGTAAGAATTCAATTGTACCGGTTACACATGGCAATAAAGTTCAAGTTTCAGTTCAAGTTTAATGCTGGAAGTCTAATAGAAACAAATTAGGAAAGAACAGCTGGCTAGAACGTTTCAGCTGGGTGGTGACTCCTGAACCGTTACAGTATGTTTGAAAGGGAAACGTTCCTTTTTGCATAGATGTGAGTAGCAAGCCTTTCAATAAACAGAATAAGCTATATATGAAAAGAAAACACCTAAAGGAAAAGGAAAATACCAATCCAGCCTATGCTCCCTTTAAGCAAGTGCTAACAAGTTCACTGGACTCAAGTCTTACCAAGAGCTCCATCTTCCTAATAAATTTGAAAGAAGAGTTGGGTACCAAAAATGTAGGCTGCACTTCTTTACTAAGAACTTTTAATGGAGCATTCAGCTGCCCTCCCAGTTCACTTGAGGTGTCTTCCTACAAAACAGATCTAGAAAGTCTGGGTAGAAGAGGTAAAAACACAGCAGGGTCGAGAATCCAAAATGAGTGCAGCACAGAGAACTAGGAATACAGAACCAAGGAGCAGTGCTCCGACCTCAAACGGCTTGCTTCACTAGGACACAGGGGAGGAGGTGATTGCCCACAGGTGAAGCCAGCTTCTGCGCCAGCGGGCCTGATAGACAGGTGCAAGTGGCGTGGATGGTTCCTGCAGTAATAATAATAATAATTCCTTACACTTATATAGCGCTTTTCTGGACACTCCACTTAAAGCTCTTTACAGGTAATGGGGATCCCCTCCACCACCACCAGTGTGCAGCCCAACCTGGATGATGCACCAGTACACTCCCCACACACCAGCTCTCAGTGGTGTTCAGAGTGATGAAGCCAGTTCAGAGATGGGGATTATTATGAAGCCATGATTGGTAAGGGCCAGGGGGAAATTTGGCCAGGATGCCATGGTTACACCCCTATTCTTTTTGAGAAATGCCCAGTAGAACTAGCCTCCTCCACAGCACTTCTCCAAGGCTAGATCTGACACCGTTTTGCTAAAGCCAATTCCCTGGCTTTCAGAGGAGGCAGCTGGATGAACTACCGAGATCCTTTACCTCATAACAAACAGCAAATGGGCTAGATGGGGTGAATGGCCTCCTCTGGTTCGTGCTTAAGCAACAAAAGTATGTGACATTTCTTTGCCCTAACATATCATTTCTGTTGGATTCTTTCTCTGTATTTCAGACTTTCTCATCACTATCATTGACATGCCAGAGGGAGACAGTCACAATCCAAATAAAAAGAATGACAACCCATAAACAAATTTTGCTTTTTATTTCTGGTTAAAAGTACAGTGAAGTGTTGGAAATACAGTTTTAATTACTGGTGTAGGACTATATCCAAGATCCTTCCGCTTTTAGTAAGGCTGGAGTGATGGCCCTGTGGCTAAGGATCTGCACCTATGACTGGAAGGTTGCTGGTTCAAATCCTGCAGCTGGCAGAGGAATCCTACTCTATTGGGTCCTTCAGCAAGGCCCTTAACCCCTTCTGCTCCAGGGATGCTGTATAAATGGCTGACCCCAAGCTTCTCTCTCCCTGCCTGTGTGTTTCATGGAGAGCAAGCTGGGGTATATGAAAAGACCAATTCCTCATGGAAGAAATTGTATATGGCCAATAAAGTTTTCTTATCTTTTGATTACTGCCTTCACTAACCCCTAAGTCGCATATGTTACTCACTAGTTACTTTATTCTACATTTAAAAGTCTTGTCCTTGCAAACTATAGTGTAGCGCCCTTGCCTGGCACTGCGGCCAAAGAGCGCCCGGCTGGGTTGCACGGCAAGGGGCAGGACGGGATTAGTAGGGGCCAGAGAGGGGACTAGGAAAGCTGTTGACCCATTGTAAAACGGGCGTACAGAGTGGTGAGATCGCCCGGATTCATGTAAATAGTTCCCTGGTTTCCCACCCCTTTTATACTTGTACCCAATTGCCACCCTATCCCTGTATAACTGTACCCAAATAGACCCCAGTGTGTTGTGCTCTCTCCCCCTCTCTGGCTCTCGCGTGTTTTCTCTCTCTCTTTCTCTCCTTTTCTCTCTCAGCGGGTGTGCGGGCACTCATCCGAAAAATAAAAGCATTGCTTCTCACTCAAACTAGAGTCTGAAGCCCTGTGTCAGTCCTCGCCGAACCCGAAAACATTGCAATATCATACCTTACTCTCTCCAGTGCCTTGTCTCTCCTTATAGATCTCGTCTCATCTCTTCCTTATTTCACCTCTGAACACCTATTGGCATATCCCTAAAACTTCTGAAAACTGATTGTTCTTCATCTGATTGTTCATCGGCAGATTGACAAACTAATCATCAGATTCTGAAAATGGTATTTTATTTCAGAGGATCTCACACCGAGGGTGTAACAATGTGTTGATAGGGACCAGAGGGGGGAGCTGCTAGTTACACCCATCCTACTTCTGGCTATGAATCACACGTGCATACAGACACAGAAGAAGTGTGCTCATTCGTGCACCACACTCACCACTGTGCTGCCGGCTATACTGGGATAGCAGAGGCAATGGAAATGGAAATGGATTGTGTACACACCCTGCTGCAAAGGCCGGCAGAGGATGTACAGAGGAAGACACCAGGCAAGTACTGTGTATATGATAAATTCATTATAATAGAAAATAAAGAGCAGTGATAGTTGATATTGAGCAAGCTGTCAACAATATACCTTAGAGTGTTGGAGTTCCTTAGGTAATCAGTGAATCAAATAATACTGAAAGTTAACATTATTACCATTACTTTAGAAAACGTTTTACAATGATTTTATCCTAAACGACAAATGATTTTGAAGCTGTTTCTCATCATACTGATTGTGCTAATTGATGAAGTGTGATATAGTTGCAGGAGTTCATTCAAATTAGCTTTGGCTTAAAAAAAAAGCCAGACTTCAGAGGCTGTTTTTAAATTACAGGGCCTAAGGTGACGTGTTATGAGAACAAGATGAAAGCACTTAATCTTCTCAGCATTCTGCAAAAGGCAATCAAAAAGTGGTTATCATAGGTTATGAGAAAAACATTAAAACATAACTGGAAACTAGTTAAAAGCCATATTCTTAGCAATCCTAAAAATATTTAATTACATAGAGAACTATCAATTAATGGAAAGTATTTTTGTGGTACACATGAGCAGGCAGAAGTATCAAGATGGTATAATACCACTCATTTTAAATGTTGTCTTTCACCCCTTCTAGAAAAAGATGATTGGTCAATTGATACTTTCAAATTCAATGCCAGAAAGCTGAGACTTCAAGAGGAAAGACAAGGCAAGAGAGAGAGACAGTACTAACACTAAACAACTACTTTATTACACATATGAGAACTCTGTATTATGGCTTCAAAGCCTTTGTGAACATATGTACAACTTATCTGCTAAATGTAACTCCAGATATTAAGTGAAAGAGCCTATTACAATTGGCAACATCTTGTAGCAACTCCAGATATTGCA